GGCCTCTTCCTTTAAATCTATCAGTTTTCTCTGTCATCACAGAGTGGGACAATCACGAACGGAACCCACAGATCCATGCTAGGTGAAAGCTCAAGATCGAATTGGAATTTAGAAGTTGGTTTTTGCGGAGGGAGGAAAACCGGAGAACCCGGAAAACCCTCGAAGCACAGGAGAGAACCAACAAACAAACTCAACTCACATACAACACCGAGCTCGCATTGGTGAGAGGCGAGCACTCTCACCGCTACCCCACCCATGCTTTCCTTTGGAAAGCGGAAAGTGGATTTTAGATCTTTAAGAAGTAACACTCTCACCTATTCTGAGCATCCTCAAGCTGCAGTTTGTATCAAAAAAACCGATTTCAGGAAATTATCACAACAATAGCCATGACAACAAAGGACCAGATAGACTAGATTATTTTCCACTTCAAATCAATGCAAGGGATTAGCTGTAGATATGGTCTAGGCGCTGGCTAGTTTCTCCCCGTAAAACCAAGGAAGAGGGACTCAATCGCCGTCAGGTCCGAAGTCCATACTATGACCCAGCGGATGTCTCGGGGTATGGCATGAAGGCACTATTTTTAGTTTTTCTATATTTTGGAATTAATTATCTTATTGAAGGTGGTGGACGTGGGTTCAATTCCCACCGCATTAAGAGTACTTTTTTTCTTCTTCTTCTTCTTCGTTTCATCTAGCCTTATATCTGGTTTTTTTTTTCACACTAGTTTTTAGCTAGTCTTATTATATAAACTATAGTCGTTTACAAAGATTTCTACAACTGAGAAATTTCGTATTTCAACACATGTAAAAATACGATAATTTTTACATGTAAAATTATAACCAATCAGTTTTCAGTATTCTGTGACGTCATTGCTCTCACAGGCGCGGGAAAATCACAACGGTAGCTTTATCTTGTATGTGGTCCCAAAGATTGCTCACTGGATCGATAATTTTTTTAAAAATTATCGAAAATTAAGTTCAAAAGCATGGCTGAAAGGTTTGTCACATTTGATTTACAAGACGTCATAGATTTTATCGAGGAGGAGGAAAATGCAAACACCAAAAAAAGACRAAGAACGACCTGTCGCTCATTCAGTTATTTCTCACAACTGAGGAGACTCGTCCGCGTTTGAAGAGATTTTTCCTCAAGAACTCGACTCGTATTTGTCCAGATTTTTGTTATCATTCAGAAAGAAAAACGGTGAGGAATATGAACCACCAACCCTACGAGGGTGAACAGTCTAGAGTTGAACTTGATTTGGGTTTGTCTATTAGAGACTGTATTTATAAATTCTCGGTTTTATGTCGATTTGAACTTTGTATTTGGGATGTTTTCTACAATAAAATTCAATTGTTTTGAAAAAAAATACAGTGCTATGGTTTATATAATAAACAGAAAAATGCATGGCCGCTTGGAGATATGGAAGTTATCTTCTCGTGTTCAAATTTGATATCTCACGAGTGAGCGCAGCGAACGAGCGAGATATCAAATTGAACACGAGAAGATAACTTCCATATCTTCGCGCGACCATGTTTTATTCTCTATATCTCTTCTTGTTTTTATATGTGTTTATTTCTTGTGTTTTATAAACGACTTTTATTAATTAGAGAAAATGAGAATAGACCTTTCCCGAATTCGCTTGACTGGTCACGAAACAATGGTTTCAAGTCGAGGTTGAACTTGATAAACAAAAGAATCAAGTTCAGTCTCAACTACTTCAAACCATTGTTTCGTGGTCAGTCAAGCGAATAGCGCAGCGCAACCGTGACGTCATAAAAAACGAAGACAAAGGCAAAATTCGGACAAACAAACTTACAAGTTTACTTTCAGCAGATAATTTTCACAGCTGATCTTAGTTTACTTAAGTAAAAATAATAAAATCGGTTCGTATAATCATCGTAGCGGTTAAACAGAATGCAATGTTTGTCCGAATCTTTAAGCTATTTTTAGAATCAGTGCGCTGCGCTATTCGGGATAGTGCAGCTGTGCGTGCTATCCTGATTTAAAACTGACTGAGAGCAGTCGACTAAACTAAAGCTAAAACACTATTTTCACGTATTCTATACTTATATTATATTTTGTGGTCAAAAGATAGCAGGTTTTGCTAACGAACAAACTGTTCGGGGAAAAAAAGAAAGCTCAACTAGAAAACAAACAAAAAACAAAGAAAGGAATGAAAAGAAAAGAAAACCAAAATTTGGAACTTATGAAGTGAACTGAAACAGTTGAAAATAAGACGAAAATAAAATGTAAATATAATTAAGTCTACAGCACCAGATATTCCCAGGCGGTCACCCATCCAAGTACTATACTGGCCCTTTTTTACTTCGGAGATCGGACGAGAACCGGTTCTTTATTGGTGGAATGGCCGTAGACAGAAGTAACTGCAAAAGTTTAGTGACTTTATTCATGAGCGCGTTTAGATTACCAACTTTTCAGGGGGAAAAGAAACTCAGCTAGAAAACAAACAACAACTCAAGCACGAGGAATAAAAAGAATAGAAAAACAAAATGAAACGAACCAAGTGAACGGAGGCATTTGAAAAGAATAGGACAATAAAATGAAGAAAAAAGTCTACAGCACCAGTTATTCCCAAGCGGTCACCCATCCACGTACTACGCGACGTTGACCTGTGTGTGTACGTTGTGTGTAAAGAGAATATACATTAAAAGCGTGTGACAAACTAAACTAAGTAAATGGTGAAAGGTTAGGTGATATCGATTGAGGAAATCTTGGGGCTTACTTAAGGTGGGCTGGAGTGGTTTGGAAAGCTCGCTTTATAGCTTACAAAGTAGTGTTTACTGCCATATTCGAAGAAGAATTGATCATATCCAGGAATGGCAGGTATGCGGGGAATGCATGTAATGTAATATGAGTAGTACGCAAAATACGGTGACTTAGTGTTGGGTGTCCTGTGTTTGTGTTTGAAAAGAAAGTACATATGAAAGGGGAAGGGAGTGGATTGTATGTAGTATGGGAAAAGAGGGAAGAGATGGTTAGTGTGTGTAACCATCATCTACCAGGGAAGGGGGGGGGGGGGGGGGGGGGGGGGGGGAGGGAGTTTGTATGTAGTGTGGGTAGAGAGAAAAGAGATGAGAGACGGTTAGTGTTCATTCAAGGACGGGGGGAAGGGGGAGTGGGTGAGGTGGGATTGTGCGTAAAGTTAGAGAAGAGGGAAAAGTTGCGAAATATTTATTGTGTGTTCAAGGAATGGGAAGCGGGCTGAAGGGGAATTGCCCTACTTCATAATGACGTCACGGTTTATTTACATCGGCTAATAAAATGATTAAAATTTAGTTCTTTCTTTCGAGATATTTAGCGTAATATTTAGTTGTTCTTGCCTTCGCCAGCTCATTAACCAAATTTACTTTGTGAATTAAGGTGTTGCTGTCATTCCATCCCCCTCAAGCGACCATGATCCCTAGCGTTAAAACAATAGTTTGTTTTCGTGTGACGTCATTATGAAATAGGGCAATTGTATGTAGTGTGGGAGAAGGGAAGATAGATGGTTAGTGTGTGTTGAGAGGAATGGGGGGAGGGTCGAAGGGGGATTGTATATAGTTGTATTGAAAAAGAGAGAAAAGATGAGAGATGTTTAGTGTGTGTTCAGGGAGGGAGGTTGAGGTTGAAAGGATTTGCATTAGATTAATCCTTTTTAAGTAAAATAAATTACTTTTAGATCCAAAAAGGCATTTYCCGCTCATTTTGTTTGCAAGTGTTTATTATCGTTTGTCGAACATTATATCTAAGAAAAAATTCATTCTTCAACGTTTTTTTCCCCTTCTTTTTCATCTCCTCCTTCATGCGTAGAAGGGATGCGCGCGAACAATGCCCATGAATTCCATTAAGGAGTTTGAGAATAAATATACAAAATGCAGACTGCAATGTTATTCATGCAATTGTTGGTTTTCTTTTTTTTTTTTTTTTTTTTTTTGTTGCATTTTTTTTTTTTTCACTATTTTGCCTGCTCAACTCTTTTGTCATATTCGTCCCAGATGGCGGCTATGACAAGCATTTCAAATGCAGCTCAATCTGGGG